CCCCCATCTCAAAATACGTTCCCGCGACTATGTGTGTGTGTGTGTGTGTGTGTATATATATATAATTTTATATATATATAATTTTACAGACATTTTCATTAACCCTAAAACACAAAAGTACAAAATTCAAAATGCAGGTAAAACACCAGTAAAAAAAGAGGGGAAATTTCATCATATTAATACAGTACAGTGTACCCTTTTTACCATGGATATATACCTTTTTTTTTTTTCAATGATGCTCTTGTAAACAAAGCGTATAATTTATACATATACATATAAATTATACATTATACATTCTTCTGGATTGAGTCTGTCTCAGTTAGTTCTGTTTCGTCATGTCAATGCAAACAAAAATCTCTCTGGATTATTACAATTAATGGCAAAATGAATGTTTGGAAATGTAAATTGATATTTCCTACTGACACACTACTGCACAAGATAGAAATAACTGACTTAAAACCATTTTTTTAGCTGGTGAAAATACTAGTGTTCTAATCATTTTGGCCACCACTGTAATTTATATAAATAATGTAAATGAAATGCATGTATAATCAGAAATGTAAATACTAAATATATAAATATTTAATAATAGTTATTTAAATATATTAAGTTTTTTTTTTTAAATATCGAGTAGCTCTTCATTGAAGGAATAACTTTGTCTTATAATGAGATGTGTGTGTATATATATATATATATAATTATTTTTTTTTCCTTTTAATATTTAATTTATTTATTTATTTATTTTTAATGAGAAATGCTTGAGTTCATATTGAGATCTCTCACTTTTGATTGCAGAGTCATTGTTGAGATCTCTTCTGAAACCGAGTAGCAGGAGAGAGTCTCCTTTGGATCTGTGTTTCATCTCATTTCTCTGTTGAAGAAATAACTCCGATAGTTAAGTGCTTCCTTTTGAGACTTTTATTTCCTATTGGATTTTTTTTTCTTTTTTGGGGGGATTTGTCCCCTTCTTTTTTTAAACCCAGCCCCTGTAAGTGTAAATCCCTTCAGCTCAGAGTGCGGGTGAAAGCACATGGTCTGGCGGCGCTTGAGCGCTCTGAGAGCGGGATGGATAGATGCTGGGATCTCTGACCTTGACTGCATTGTTCTGCAGGGCCCATCTGCACCTCTCGATCCTTATGTTTGGACGACGCTAATGAACGAGAGACAGTGAGACATGAAAGACGTGTTCATTATTTGCTCTGGTGTCCTAATTAAAGCCTTGTTTGCAAAACACTTAAACAACATATTCCCAACTCTAGAGAAGAGCAGAGCAACAGATAGAGAGTGTGTTTCTATCTGTCTGATGTTCTATCATTCATTTTATCATTTAGTATTTTATCATTCAATCTACTGCATAATCGTTCAGTCTATTGTTCGATTGTTCCTGCTATCGTTCTGTCGTTTTCTTTCAATCTATTGTTCTATCTATTGTTTTATCGTTCAATCTATTGTTCCACTGTTTTATTGTTCAATCTGTCATTCTGTCTGCCATCTTGTCATTCAATCTATAGTTCATTTGTTTAATCCGTTATTCTGTCTATCGTTCAGTTTATCTGTTAATCTATCATTCTATCATGTTATTGTTCAGTCTAGTGTTCTATCTAACATTCTATCTTGTTCTTTCTGTCCATAAGGTCTATAAACCTTCAAACGTTTTATACTTTTTTCAAATCCTTTGTGAAACCACTATTCAGAGTTTCTTTTTACTTTTAAATTTCGGTTCATTTTAATTCTACTTCCTTACATTCAAATTTGAATTGCAATTCTGCTTCATGTTCAAATACAGGAATTCAACTGGAATTTGAAAGTCATTCTCAGTTCGTTTTTAAAAGATGTAAAACTGTGGCGTTTTGTGTCCATGTTACATTACCGCAATATTGAGCGTCAGCAAACTGTTCTGGGCAGTGAGTTTATAGATTTATGTGTCACACACGAGTTATTCTGACGTTTAGCTGATGGTGTCTTTTCTAACATGACTGACAGTCTCTTACTGCAGGGCTTAAATGTTAAGCGTCCCGCTCAAGGACATGATGGAGATTCAGGGCTCAAGTTCTTATTCTCCAGAAGAATCAGCACTTCCTCCACTTTAAGATTACGAGGCTGGAGTTTAATCCTGTAATCTTTTGAAGATTGTGTGATCATACATCTGGAGATCTCGTCTGATGTGCGTTCCTCACTTATCAATGATCTCAGAAGAAGACCTCATGTTTTGTTTCCCAAGAAATGGAAAAACAGTCAGTGTGAGCATGATCACAAATATAATAACGGGAAAGATTTTACTCCCAGAATAATTTTCAGCCTTTATACACATTATAAAAGGAAATGAAAATGTGAAGAATTCTACTTTTCTCTTTTTTTGTCTTGGCTTATGAAATCTGAATGCTGTGTCAGAACTGCTTTTTGGAATGCTTTTATCTTAAAGGCGTCATACCTTTTAAAATTTAAAATACCTTTTTTTTATAATTAAATTATTAATTGCTTTAAATAAATTCACTGAAAATCTTCTTGTTGTTGTTGCTTCCAAATCTCTATTTCACTTCTTCTGTTTCATCAAGATGTAACATTTTAATAAGTGTTTTTAGTGATATTCATGCTTTTCAGTAATAATAAAAATGTCATTATTATTATTATTATTATTCCAATAGACACATATTAGTTAAAAATGTAAATTGTTATACTTAACTTTAGTTGTTATTATTGCTATTAGTAGTATTAAATAATTAAAAAATAAACATTTAAGTCAATATGTGACAGCACAAAACCATTCTTAAGTCGCTGGGGTATATCTGTAGCAATAGCCAAAAAAATGGGTCAAAATGATTGATTTTTCTTTTATGCCAAAAATCATTAGGATATTAAGTAAAGATCATGTTCCATGAAGATATTTTGTAAATTTCCTACTGTAAATATATCAAAACTTAATTTTTGATTAGTAATATGCATTGCTAAGAACTTCATTTGGACAACTTTAAAGGCAGTTTTTTCAATATTTTGATTTTTTTGCACCCTCAGATTCCAGATTTTAAAATGGTTGTATCTCTGCCAAATATTGTCCTATCCTAACAAACCATACATCAATGGAAAGATTATTTATTCAGCTTTCAGGTGATGCATACATCTCAATTTCAAAAAATTGACCCTTATGACTGGTTTTGTGGTCCAGGGTCACATAGAGTATGTATTATTATAATATTTATCATTTATTATAGTTATATTATTATGATTATTATTATTTGTTATTATTATTCAATAATTGCATATTTATGTCAATTCAAATGTGTGATTTTTCATTATAAGTAATTGTTATTTTTATTACTAGTAGTAAATTAATGTTGATGTAAGCCAAAGTATTATCATTGTTAATAATTCACACTTTTCAAATTACATAATTTAATAATTACATATAATAAATATATTTCTTAAACACCATAATTTTAATTAGAAACACTGAAACAAAAGTGTAGAGTTTGGCTGCATTTAGCTGGAGTTGTCTGTTCTCTATAGTTTATTAGAACAGATTAATATCCTGTCCTGAAGCTTCTATGTTACAGTCTATCCCAGTTTTTGAGGAAAAGCACAGATTTCTAAATGGATGATTGCAGAGTTTGTGTTCTTGTTTTGATGTGGTTCTGGCAGATCCCTGCGCCCGTGTCCTGGTTTGATTAACAGCGTCCAGCATTTCCCAGATGAATCCTGTCCTAGATTGTCATTCCCCTTTGCTGGACCGTTGTAGCCCCCACACACACACACACACACACACACAAAGACATGCACTGCAAGGCTCCTGTTGTAGTCCGTCAAACCTTTGACCTTAAGTATAATTCATGGTGAGGTCACGCATGCATCATTCAGAGCTCATGGGGAGGTTTATTGCGGGCAGGTACCGCTGTGTGATGTACGACCCTCTGTCTGGGTTCTGGGCCGCAGCAGCGGGAGCCGTACGTCGTTGTGGTTCGAGCGGGTCATTTGGGTTGACCTTTCTTATTAGTGATTGACAGGTAAATGACAGTTGCACAGCGCCATAAAGATGATGAAGCTTTGAGTCTGAAAGGTCAGAGGAGGCGTTCCTGGGGAAGCAAAGCATGATGGGAACAGAGGGCGGAATGCTCAGGGTCTACTGATCAGGAAGCTTCACAAGCTGAGAGGGTTTTAATGTTTCATTTAAATATGAGTGGATTAGACTTTAATGTCTTTTCAGGTTAAAGAACATCACAAATTGCATGACGTACGAGTTTTTTTTTTTTTTTTTTCTTTTAAAAGGGTGTTTTTATTCGGTACTTTTTTTTTATTCAGTATAAAAAGTACTTTTATTCAGCAAGGATGCATTAAATTGATCAAAAGTGACGGTTAAGACATCTATAATGCTACAAAAGATTGCCATTTCAAATAAATGCTGCTGTTTTGAACTTCCAATTCATCAAAGAATCCTGAAATCAAAGTTTCCATAAAAATATTAAGCAACACAACTGATTTCAACATTGATAATCAGAGAAGTTTCTTGCGCAGCAAATCAGCATATTAGAATGATTCCTGAAGGATCATGTGACACTGAAGACTGGAGTAATGATGCTGAAAATTCAGTTTTGATCACAGCAATAAATTACATTTTACAATTCAGAAAATAGTTTATTTTAAATTGTAATAATATTTCACAATATTACTGTTCTTACTGTATTTTTTGATCAAATAAATGCAGCCTTGGTGAGCAGAAGAGGTTCTTTCAAAAACATAAAAAAACTACGTACTGACTGAGCGCAAAACAGTTTGTTTATAAAGCTTATAAAACCTGCAGCATCACATGTACAGTAGTGGGGAATATTACTTTTTAAGTACACACACAAGTAGCTATTACTCTTTTTCTTCCATAGAAAATGGCAAATGACTTATTTTTGTGCTGTTTTTCCTCACCGTAAGTTGGCTGATGATTTTCTCTCACAGAGCAGTATAGTTATGTTAGTCTTATATCTTAATCTTAAATGATTTGTATGTTAAAGCATGCTATGCTCATCTCAAGGCTCTGTAAACAAGAGCTCTGTTGTTGACAGACCTGGCAGAGCTGGAGGGAGAAGTGTTTCCGTTGTTGATCTTCTGTCCTTATTAGGGATATGCCGGTATCAAATTTTCATGTTGCGATTAATTGGAGAGAGAGAGAGAGAGCGCGAGAGAGAGAGAGAGAGGATTAAAACAAATAATTTAATAAGCATGTCATCCTTCTCATTGAATACCTATACTTAACGCCCCCAATAAATATTTTATCTGAAAATTGCTCATCAAATTTTTTAAACAAATCCTTAAGAAAATTAAAAAGATCATGTAATATTCCACATTTTAAAAACAAATGTTCTAAGTCTTCTTGTTTTCCACAAAATCTACATTCACCACCCACTGCTGAATTCAGGTGCGTCACATGTCTGTCTGTAGCTATTGCCCCGTGAATAATCCTCCACTGTAGATCTGCTGTTCTCTTCTCTATGGGAGGCTTATACAGGGCTCTCCACCTGTCCCTCACAAGGAAATCTGATCCTAACAATCTTGACCACTTTGAACCTTTTATTCTCTTGTGAAAATTTTGATGTATGACTTTTACTGAAGAATCGTAAATTGCTTTCTTTGATGTTGATTCAAAATAGTCCAGCTGAGGTGTTTTAAAAGACTGTAAATTAAATTTACAATTAAAGAGAATTGTGTCCATATTCAAAACTGTAGATACACTTACTGAAGACAAAAGCCTTGTTTGGATCATTGGATTAAAAAATAATGGTTCCTCCAGAACCCAGTGTCTTGTGTCATCACTACTCCGATCCACTTTAAAAACTGTTTTCCAGGACTGTAACACTGCCTTATAGAAGGGAATGATCTCTGACAAACTCACTTTCTCCAAGTCCATTATGAACAAATGTTTATCCAAATCGAGTCCACCTGCGTTCTTCAAAATTAGTCTTGCAGTATGGGCCCAAGCTAAGTCTTTGTGATATAAAAGTCTTTGTGCTGCTTGTATCCTGTAAGCTGTCAACCGACTTCTCACATCCACCAGCCCTTGACCTCCTTCATGGACAGGTAAATAAAGTGCTGCAGCATGGATCCAGTGTGCCCCACTCCAAAAAAAATTCACGATTGTCCGTTGTATTTTACAAACCAACTCAACTGGAGGCTCCATAACAGCCATTTTATGCCACAGTGTTGAGGCTGCCAAGTTGTTAGTGACCAAGACTCGCCCTCTGTACGACAATTGTGGTAATAGCCAGTTCCATTTAGACAATCGGGCTGACACCTTCTCCAGCAATCCCTCCCAGTTTCTTGTCTGAAAATGTTCATTCCCTAAAAAAACACCTAAAGCTTTTATCCCTTCTCTGCCCCATTGTAAACCACATTGTAGTTTTGGAGGTCCTACATCTTCACACTTACCAATAATATATCCCTCACTTTTCCCCCAGTTCACTCTGGCTGAGGATGCCTTTTCATATGTCCCAATAATTTTCATTAAAACTTTCACATCATCTTGGCCCTTTATAAACACGGTAACATCATCAGCATACGCTGACAAGGATACTTTAAATGTACTCTTTAAATCTGGAATTGAAATTCCAGTTAGTTCCTTCCTTAATCTGCACAAAAATGGTTCAATTACCAGACTATATAACTGTCCAGAAAGTGGACATCCTTGTCTAATACCCCTGGACATCATTACAAACTTTTAACTGTTGTTTTCATCAATGCAGTAGAAAATTAAGTATAGTTTTGACAAAAAATCCTGATATTTGCTTTACCGACATCCCACCATTGACCAAGATTTTCAAAAGTGTCTTTCTTAAGCTTCCACTTATCCCTCAATACAGTGAAAAGATACTTATGATCAACTTGATCAAAAGCTTTTTCTTGATCAAGCAAAGAATCCCTAAATTAAAATGATTACTTCAATTAAAATCAAATCATATCACACAATAAAAATAAATTATCCATAATTGATCTATCTGGTATACGATAGTACTGGTCTCTATGAACTATTTCATGTAGATATTTTTTAAGTCTATTTGCCAACACCTTTGAAACTATTTTGTAGTCTGAACATAGCAACGACACTGGTCTCCAGTTTTTTAATAATCCCAAATCTCCTTTTTTAGGAATTAAAGATAGAACTGCTCTGCAACAACTTGTGGGTAATGTCTTTCTTTTGATGCAATCCATCAGCAGTTCATTAAAATCCTGTCCAAATAATTCCCAAAAAGCCTGATAGAACTCCACAGGTATACCATCCACTCCTGGGGATCTTCCAGGAGATAATTGTCTCATTGCATCTGTGAGCTCTTGCAAAGTTATTTGTTCATCCAGTGATTTTCCTTGTTCATCTCTCAGCTGAGGCAGATCACAAAGCAATTCAGCAATACTTCCAGAGTCACAATTCTGAGCACTATATAAACTGGAATATAAATCTACTGTCATTT